CAACACCTTGGTCACATTGAGCTCATTATGATGATGCATTACCGAGTGGGCCCAGAGATACCTCTCCGTTATACGGAGTGACAAATCCCAGTCTCGATCCGTGTCAACCCAACAGATACTTTCGGAGATACCTATAATGCACCTTTATAGTCACCCAGTTACGTTGTGACGTTTGATACACCCAAGGCACTCTTACGGTATCCGGGAGTTACACGATCTCATGGTCGAAGGAAGAGATACTTGACATTGGCAAAGCTCTAGCAAAAACGAACTACACGATCTTTTATGCTATGCTTAGGATTGGGTCTTGTCCATCACATCATTCTCCTAATGATGTGATCCTGTTATCAACGACATCCAATGTCCATAGTCAGGAAACCATGACTAACTGTTGATCACAACGAGCTAGTCAACTAGAGGCTCACCAGGGACATATTGTGGTCTAAGTATTCACACGTGTATTACGATTTCTGGATAATACAGTTATAGCATGAATAAAAGACATTTATCATGAACATTGAAATATAATAATACTTTTATTATTGCCTCTAGGGCATATTTCCAACAAAAATATATCAGAACACAGGTGCATTTAAAAAAAATGAGAACACAGGTTCCTCGGAAAAAATAGAAAAAAATCAGAACACAGCCTCCCGTCCCGTGTGTTCGGCAACGACTCTTCGCAAGGGGAAAAAAAGGTTGTTCGCAATCGTCAATCTCGTGGGCGGGCGGATTGATCTTTACGAGGCGAGCGACCTATGCCTGGCCGGGCGGGAGAGGCCATGTCTGGTTCTTGCGATGCGATGCCGTGGAGCAGTGACGGGACAGCGAAACGAAACGTCGCCTGGCGATTCAGTCATCAGAGATAGAAATCATCAATGATGTGGACCTTAATGCAATTGATTTACCCACTTGCCGGCGTCCGTTTCTACTAACTTAATGGCAATCGATGTGCCCAAGTCAGTTATACCATTCGATCCGTGCTCTTATAATACCCCACTGGCATCCATATAGTCTCGATAATCCTCTTGTTCCTCCCCACCTCCTCCTTACTTCGGCAGGTTGATGCCTCATCTTCTCTGTTTCTTTCTTCTTCTTCTTTTTTGCGAATATCATGCATCTTCTCTGTTTCATACCTCATCTTCTCTGTTCCCTCTTCCCCCAATCTTCCTCCATCAAATTTCAGAATTTCTATTATTGATGATGTTTTCTTTACTCCCAACTGAATTGAAGGTGCTCAGAGTTGACAGATTCGAGGTCGTTTCCGATGGGCTGGGTTGTTCCTTGCCGCTCCAATGGCTAACTGTCAGGTTACTATCCGTGCCATGTTACTATGTGTGCTCATCCTGCTACACAGGATGTCTACAGTTAGACGGTATTGTCTTAATCCATCACTACAATTGGGTTCGTAATCTTTATTCTGTTTGGGAATTTTTGTATCTTGATGGATTATTCTGTCAAGGGGGCAGTTCTGGAATCCGAGGGAGCATAGCTTCGTATAACAATGGCATATGGAGCAACTTCTTCTGTTTATCTTTTTGGACAACGAATTGACATTCTTCCAAATCCTCTAACTGAAGGTATCCCTTTCATTATATTGCATGCACGGTGAATTTCAGCATTGCATATTGAATTTGAATAAGTATTGAATCAGGTACATACATACAGGCATATATGAGGCATACATGACACAATAAAGTCAAGTAGCTCATGGATTGGATCCATACCCAGCTTGGCCATGAACCAATATTCTCTCAAAAGCTTGGTAAATATTTTTTGTTGAATGAAGAGTACTTGAAAAAGGAACACTGATTTGGTCCGAGATTTTGGTCTGATCATGTATTGTGGCAATAGGCGCTCCCTTCCCTCTAAACTTCCATGTTGTCATCAAGGTGATGTTAAAAGGTAGTCTGTGCGGTGTGTGTGCGCACACATATAGCACTTAGCGTTTTCAAATGATTGTGAAGCTCAACACTTTCTGTAAGCACTTTGTGCTCTTCATAGTGTAATGCCCGTTCTTAATATGCATGATGTTTCATCTCTGACCACTTACTGGGGCATGATTAGTGTGCTATATTGTTTTTAGGGAATTGAAGCAGATGAGATAAATTGGCTCGGCAAAGCAAAGATTAAAAAAAAAAGCCAAGCATGTTCTTAAAATAATGTAAGTGGTAGCAAGTATGCATCTTCAATCACTATTTTGCAGCATGTTCTGGAGGTAAATCAGATACCTGATGCCATGTATATATAGTAAAATAAAAAATACGCAGAGGTTTCAGCCAATTTGTTTTCATGCAAACAGTAGGAATTTCTCCCTACTGCGTGTATGTATAAACGCCTTGGTGTAAGTTTGATGTAAGTTTTAGTTCATTCCTGAGCTGGACAATGATGACCATAAACGCCTTGGTGTCTAAATTTTCCCAAGGTTCTGTATATACAACAAAAACTTAAAAGGATTGGGTGGAGGGTGCCCTCACCTGTGTTTGCTGAGCTCAATATAGATGCCTCTTTTGATGAAATCATTTCTAGAATTATGCTAGAGCAATCATGCGAGATGTTAAAGGTTTCTTTTATAGCTGCTTCAAATGTGAAACTGGATTATGTCCAGGATGCTCAGAGGAAAATAAATTAACCCTAAACCTGAGACATGGCTTACTGCTAGACGTTTCTTGCTGTTAACTCCGATGACATGGAGGTAGAACGTTTGCTGGTGTAAGGTAATTATCATGAAGAATTAAATTCGTGGCTTTGGATCATGTATTTTAAATATCAGGATACATGTAACTTTAAATGACCATACGAAGTTGCAAAAATATTATTCACCGATCTGAACATTACATATCATGTAGCGCCCTTTAACCGTCAGTTTGCTAACGTAATTTGTGTTAATTTATTTTCCTCTGCAATTAGCTAACTTGAGTTAAGTATTATTCTTTGAAGAACAAGTACCGGTGCAATGTTTTGTTGATCCAGAAAGCTTAGTTCGTTATTGTGCTTCAAAGACAAAAGATGATCTTAGTTTGTATTTATTTTTTATATTTTTCCATTTTATATTTATAGAAAACAAAATTATTTAGAGTTATTATGAATTTGTACTCTTCCAAGCCTTATTATATGGGTAATATATGGGTGCGGCAACGCGCGCCATCATGGTCTAGTGTGGGTTCAATGCTAGACTACGTTTGGATGATCGATTCGCATATTGGGAATATCACAAGTGCAAAACCATAATAAACGGATTAATATCCAACATCCACGAATCGAGCTAGTCCCAACGAGTTGACCTTCATTGTGCATCTATCCGGGCGCGGCAAACAGCGGCGGCACCTGCACGTACACGCAAGCACCACGCAACTGCCACGCTAGCCCCCAAACAAGCCACCTGTTTATTTTACTCCCATCACATCAAGGTGGTTTGGGTTTTCTCCAGGCACGTACGTACACCACCGACTACGTAAGGTTAAAGCCATGCGCCACCAATCGAGAACAGCATTTGCCGGTAGCCCGGGCTTCCATTCTTTTTCTCAAAACAAAATAGTACTCGTAGGAGTAGTATGAGATATACTACGACGATTCGATTTGCGCCTCCAAAGGTTTCTTAAAAAAAGGATTTGCATCCCACAGTTACAAGTCTGCAACCCTAGAAGTGGAGGGCACCCCTACCTAGAGGCTAGATTTGAAAATGCTACGGACGTCCGGAAATACATTGAGGTCAAGAGGACAAAGCGGTGGCTAAAATGCATGGATAAACAAACGTTTGCCGGGCTGTGCTGGCACAACCCGCTCTCTCCCGTCCAGAGAATCTCTGTACACGCAGCCCAAGATTTCCAGAGCCTTTAATGCCCTCCTCATCAGTAAATAATAACTCCCGCGCCAACAACCCACGCTCTTCCCAGATGCTGATGCACCTTGCTGTATTTCCCAGAAAAAGAAACACCTTCTTTTTTGCTGGAACATACTAAAACGCCTTCCCAAAATATTACTACTGCTACTCCGAGCTTTGGGATGGATATTTGCGCCATTACATTACATTTTCCATTTTCTACCACACAAGTATAGATAGATTCCTGCTCTAATTTATTTCCCACCGTTTCCGCTGCACTCGATGGGAGCCAGCCGTGCGATTCTGCAGGCCGCGGTATCTATTTCCCCATGTCGACCAAATAATTGATTGACAGGAGTAATAAGCAACCATTAGTTGACCTGCTGCCTTGTCCCCTTCCCCTGTCGTCTGGCCGTTCCGTTTGACGCCTACCAACCAATTGACCCGATTCCTTTTTCTTTCTCCTTGCAACAGCAAAACAATGTCGAGTTGGCAACCAGAAAAAGAAAAAAGATCTCTTCCGCTCTTGTACACCCAGTCATGGCGCTGTCCCTGTGACCACGAGCCTAAAAAACTACTATTAGTGGTAGAAAAGAACAGTGCCAACTGCATCCGCTCTCCCCCTAATCAAACCTCCCGAGACCTTCTTAATCACCCACAAAAGCAGTTAAGCAGAGAAAGAGAGAGGGGGGCAGGGGAGGGTGAAGACACAATAGAAACTGCCGTCTTCAAGGAGGGAGAGAGAGAGCCCACCTTCACCTTCACCTCCACCTCCCCCAACCCAACTACTCGCCTGCTCTCCCGACCCCCATTGCGAGGTGATCCCCCCGGCGCCGGCGCCCACCATCAACTGCTTCAATTGAATTGGTGCTCCTCTTTCTGCAACCCCCGCTTGGTTTATTGGAGGAGGAGGAGTGGTTGGATCAGCAGCAGGCCCGTCGCCAAAAGGGTCTCCAACTCCAACCATACCATGTATCGCTGACCCTGCCCTGCCCTGTCTTTCTTTCGCGGGGAGCTGCTTCCGGCGGCAGCGAGAGAGCGAGAGGGAGAGGCAGACCAGGCCATGGCCTGAGCTCTGGAGTGGTGGACTGGCGGCGGTTGGGGCTTCTTCTTCTGCGCTCGACTCCTACTCGCGCAGCCTTCTTTTGGGGAGGCCGGTTGACCATCGTCGTCCGGGATGTCCGCGTCGGCGTCGGTCAAGCTGGGATCAAAGCCCGACGCCTTCAGAAGGCAGGGGCAGGCGTGGTAAGTTTCTTGCCTCATTGCTCTCTTCTTCCCTGTTAGCCCTTTGTTCTTCTCTGTGTTAATTTAGCTTTGATTTCTGTGGTACATACACATGCTCGCTCTCCCTTGCCCGGATAGAAAGAATTGGACCCTGTTGTATTGTTCCTGCTCTTCTTTTGCTGCTAGCTGAAACCTGAAAGAAAGAATTTAGGGGAGAAAGTAGGACAAGAGTAGTTGGTTGGCGTTCTTGGGGTTTCTGCTCAAATTGGTGCGAATTTTGTTGAGCTCTGTCTGGAGGTGCCATAATTCACAAGCTAGTCTTTAACTTGTTTGGCTGGACTGCACGGCTTCGCTGTACACCGCTCTCCTTGAGCTCTGTCTGGAGTTTTGTTTGTATATAATATAGGCCACTGATTTCATACTCACCTATTTTCAATTGCAATACGATGGGATTCGTTTAGCAGAGTAGGTTTACTTGCTCCTCCTTGCTTGCCACGGTTGATTGAGAAAGAAAATTCAGGGTTCAAAACATTAGTTTCAAATGTTATGCCAGTTGCCAGAAAAAAATGTTGAAAAGAAGGCGTGAGCCGGAATTTGAAATTCCGTTTTGTTACCGACACACTTGTTGATGAGGAATACTTCTCACGAAATCAGGGAAGACCTGCGGTATTGTTCCCCTGCTTTGGTGCCCCATCGCACATGCTAGACACGGTTCCACCATTGAAGCATGGTGGGGTGTTATGCACTTATTGTATTTGTACCCACAAATATGCACAGTTGATTGCAGTTGACCGCCTCTGCAATCAGTTCGTGGTGGCCGGTGGGGGTCGCCTGCAGTTTTTCATGGATCCACATCACACTGGTTGGCAGCGGGATGCCATCCTTCCCTTCCTCATTTATAGAGGACGATGCAACCAACATGTAATTATTTAGTAGGGAGCAGGTTTGGATTTGTTTTAAGTGGATAGCTCAGGCTTCCCCTGTTTCATGAAATCAACCACCGTTAGCACCACTGTTTGTGGCATCAGATCAAAGGGACCATTACCGTGGATATATATATGTTTCAAATTTGCTCTGTGAAGTTTTGTATTTAAATACGGTCTGATATAATGATGTTGACTTTTTCTTCTGCTTTTGAACCTTCTAGGTTCTGCACAACAGGACTGCCCAGTGATGTTACTGTGGAGGTTGGGGATATGTTTTTCCACCTTCATAAGGTAATACGCATTTCTTGTTAGTGTCTGTAAATTATTTCGCCCTCTATGGCGCTAGAAACAGCTACTGTATTACTTGTTATTACAAGAATGCCCCGGAAGAAAGTTATTTGAAGCTTTTGGTATTAAAAAGAATGTAGTAGTTCAAAGCATCAAGGTGGACTAACAAACTTTATTAGTCTCTCGTGACATGCAAGCATTGTCTATTATAGGTCTGCAAGGAACTACCTGTGGATTTATAGGAATATATGTTGTCTTTATTAAGAAGGATAAGCAACTGGTGATTGTGTTGAAAAAAATAAATCTTAATCACTCATTTTTGGAGAATTAATTTGTGGCAACATTTCATCTTTAACAAAAATGCACATGACATTGTTAACTTTCTCCAGTGGTCATTCATGCATTTCTACTGAATTTTCTTACTTTGTCACTATACGCTGACTGCTTTTCTTCTTAATGTTGTCTATCCTCTTTGCAGTTCCCTTTACTTTCCAAAAGTGCCGTTCTTGAACAGCTGATCGAGGAGAGTTCAGACCAGGAAGAGTGCATCATCAAACTAAATGATATCCCAGGGGGTGCAAAATCATTTGAGATGGTGGCAAGATTCTGCTATGGAGTGAAAATAGAACTTTCTTCTTCAAATGTTGTCCACCTGCGTTGTGCCTCTGAGCATCTCCAGATGACTGAAGAAATATCTGATGACAACCTGATTGCACAGACAGAAATGTTCCTTAACCAGGTGGTGCTTCGTAACTGGAAAGATTCTTTGAAGGCCCTCGAAACCTGCGATGACCTCCTCCCTCATGCTGAAGATCTTCAAATTGTGAAGAGATGCATCGAGTCGTTAGCATCGAAAGCAACCACTGATCCGAACCTGTTTGGCTGGCCGATAAGGGAACATGGCCTCATGCAAAGCCCTGGAGGCAGTGTACTGTGGAATGGGATCAGCACCGGTGCCAGGCCCAGAAACTTCAGTTCAGACTGGTGGTATGATGATGTTTCATCATTGAGTTTTCCAATGTACAAGAGATTGCTATCTGGCATGGAGTCTCGACGCATACGGCCTGAGATCATCGCTGGTTCTTTGGCATACTATGCGCGGAAGTATATCCCAGGGCTCAGTAGGCGCAATAGCATGGGAACAATGCCCCTGGCTGGTACTCTTTCTGATGTGGAACAGAGGAACTTGCTTGAGGAGATCGACAGACTATTGCCTGTTCAGAAGGGTTTGGTGCCTACAAAACTCTTGCTCGGGCTGCTTAAAACATCCATGATTCTGAAGGCCAGCTCCACCTGCATTGCCAACTTAGAGAAGCGCGTCGGCATGCAGCTTGACCAGGCCAGTCTGGAAGATCTACTGCTGCCAAACTACTCTTACACCATGGAAACACTGTACAATGTGGAGTGCGTGCACAGGATTCTTGAGCACTTTCTGGCAATGGACCAAGCCAACGGCGGTTGCTCCCCGTGCATCGATGACATGATGGCGTCCCCTTCCATGATACCGATCACTGCTGTTGCTAAGCTACTTGATGGCTATCTAGCAGAGGTTGCACCGGACGTCAATCTGAAACCTCCGAAGTTCCAAGCTCTGGCATCTGCTTTGCCCGAGTATGCCCGGCCACTAGATGATGGCCTCTACCGTGCCATCGATGTGTACTTGAAGGTAGATCTTTCATCCTGCTTTGATCTTTGTTTGGAACAGCTAATTAGCATTTTGTCTTCAGAAAAGAAATTGGACATTCACTTCTATCTGCATCTGCATGACATCATTTTGATTTTGTGTTGCTTGCAGGCACATTCCTGGCTGTCAGAAGCTGAGCGGGAGCAGCTATGCCGGCTGATGGACTGCCAGAAGCTGTCCCTGGAGGCGTGCACCCACGCGGCGCAGAACGAGAGGCTGCCGCTGCGCGTGGTGGTGCAGGTCCTCTTCTTCGAGCAGCTGCAGCTGAGGACGTCGATCGCGGGGTGCCTGCTGGTGTCGGACAACCTGGAAGGGTCGTCCAGGCCGCTGCGGAGCGGCGGGGTGGCGATGTCCGGCGAGGCCGGGGGGTGGTCGGCGGCCGTGAGGGAGAACCAGGTGCTGAAGGTGGGCATGGACAACATGAGGATGCGGCTGGCGGAGCTGGAGAAGGAGTGCTCGGACATGCGGCAGGAGATCGAGAAGCTGGGGCGCGGCGGCGGCGGCAAGGGCGGCGGCGGAGGAGGAGGGTGGGCGTCCCATGTCCCGAGGCGGTTCAGCCTGAAGATGAAGCCGCAGATTTGCAGCACCCAGGAGGGGTCGGTGAGCGAGCAGCACAAGAGCATGAGCGCCAAGCTCGACAAGCTGCAGGCCAAGCTGTCCAAGCAGAAGCGCCAGCTCTCCGCCGACGCCTGAATGAAACACCAAACTCCCTACTAGTTGCTCCTGTGATTTTCGTTAACTTGGTGTGAGCTGTGTTATAGACTTATAGTTTCCGTAGCCGTTTCGTTTAGGTTTACATGTGCCATGTGCAAGTGTTTTGAGTCCCTTGGTGTGAACATTTTCTGGTGTTTTCTTTGGGTGTGTTGGTTAGTGGGAATGGGAATGTGTAGCAAAGTTATCATGTTGCTCTGTGTTTACTGAAGTAGTGCAAGTGGTCGTCAGTTCATAGGTGCGGGGGCCGAAATTGTAGTACTGTCTATGCACATATCTTTGATCATTTGGACTTGTAGATCATTTTCTCTTTGGTTCGATTGTTCAAACAAAATGTTAGACACGCAACGCACGGTCAGTATCATTGGCACGACTGATGATTTGTGTGGACTTGAGAGAGAGTAGTCCGGTTGATTCCTTTGATGGTGAGAGCCTGACCAGAAATCGCCATCTCGCGTCAATGCAAAGGAAGAACCCGTGACACCTCAAACAAGAGAATTGTTGACCAAATCAAACAGATTCTGTGGCCAGCACGGAGCCATCGAGCTGGCAATGCAGATTTGATATGCATCTTTTCCACACCATAAATCTCTACGCAGGTTTCTCTAGAAAGCAGAGGGAGATCTCTGCTTTAGTTCTTTCTTACTACTGGCGCAGAGCAAGGTCAGCAGACAGCGTGATATGGACAGAGATGGTCAGGATGGGAGGCACATCTGGTTCATGATATTTTTGTTTCCTTGGAGTTGTAAGGACATTACTTGAAGTTTGAGTTCCTTTTTGTTTTCTTTTTTTCGCGCCGCATGTCGTTTTTCCTGGGTGACAATGACATCAAATGACCGTACTCATGTTCCTCGTCTCCAGCCTGGTGACAAATCTAAACACTTATTTTCCTGCATTCTGTTTTTGCCCATCAATTGGCGGTACGTACACGCTGGTAACCGAAATTATATTTGTATAAATTTGTTATACACTCCTATGTTTTTTTATCCATGAAAGGAACCTGTCATGGATCGAGTGGCCGCCACTTGCAAGAGACAACCAAAATAAAAATAAGTTTTTTTTAGAGAGAAAAAATAAGTTTGTTAGCTCAGTTCATCATTGCGTACTCCGAACCAAGTGCTCGCCAGCGTAAATGGACATCAACGTTTATTGTGTTTCTTGGATCAACTCTCCAGCTGAGTCGCCAAAACAGCCTAACCATCATAATAAGCACCAATATACCACCCCCACCCCACCCCAGCGCGCAAAAAATAAGATCATCAATATGACGATTTTAACCGATAAGACCGCTCTAGCAGAGTCGTTATCCGACCTCATAGCATTGGAATTTATGAAAGACGCTCTATATCGAGCTCGCGGGCCTCCTAATTTGAAGGTTGTGGGGCTTGGTTTTTGGAGGGCGCGCCATCCGACAACCACAAGAGGAAGTTTCACCTCCTCCTCATCCTCCCATATGGTCCACCTCCTCTCCCTGCCAATGGCGCAAGCGGCCGACGCCCATCGCATCAGGAAGCGAGTCAATTAATGGTGGACGCCGCATGCCCAATTGACTGCGCCCTTCCGACCATGATTTCCCTCCGCCTGCTGGAATTAAAAGGTCGTCCCTCTTTCTCTCCATTTCCACCATCCATGCCTCACATAGATCCTCTTCCTCTCCTCTTTCACCATGTCAGTTCCCCTTCAATCAAAAAAGGTTTTGCTCTCGGAGGAAGAGAAAGGACTGCTCAACGAGGAGGAAGCGGCAGAAGATGCCACCAACATCGCTGAGGAGGAGGAGTGGGATCGCCGTGACACGGAGGAGGATGCGCAGGAGGATCTTGCCCTCCTCAATGAGTGGTCAGATTCTAATCCCTAAGCACATGCCGTTTTTCGGGATGTCAAGCATATCTACCAGCAATTCATGTACGGGGCAGGAAGGGTCTCGCCAACACAGCTTATATCGACCACCACGTGCTCCTTGTCGCCTCACTGTTAAGGAGGCATGGATGAGCAATATTGTTGGGGGGATGACCCCCATGTAGGCAAAGCGACACTTAGCAATTTTCAAAACATCAGGGCGGCAAGCGCCCCTCAGGCCGGCTGGACCTCCAGCCGGCTCCATGGCTAAGGAGGTTGGCTGGGCATGGCGCCACGCCCGAGCCGGGAAGACGGTGAGTCACCTCCCGTCCCATCTGCTCATACGATAAGACCGCTCCCCACAATGGAGAGAGCATGGCTACAGTGCGCCCCTCAGCGCTGACCGGGGGAAGCGTGGCTACAGTGCCCCCCTCAGCACTGACTGGGGGAAGTGGGGCTACAGTGCGGGACTCAGCGTTGACCGAGGGAAGCATGGCTATAGTCCCCCCCCCCTCCGCGCTGACCCTGGCGACCAACGTCAACGCAGCTTGGCATTGTTCCAACCATTCCGTGACGCGGCGGACGACGTGCCACCGTGACGTCCTACCGGTGGGTCCTGCAGTCGGCAGACCCCACGAAGACGCTGCAACGATGACAACAGGGACCCGCCCACCTTAGTTTACCGTTGTACCCTAGGAGGTCGGGCTATAAGATCCCACGGG